TATATATCATTATTTTACTTAAAAGACCTTCATTTAATTAAATAGATCTGACGAACTTTGATTTTGTTAGAGATAGGTCTTATCTTCAGAAACGTATTTGCAATTTAATGAGTAATTTATTTGACACGCAATGTCATTAAAGTGAATCATCAAACAAATAATAATTGATTAGGAGTGAATGTCGAATTTGAATGGATATTCATTGTGATATTTTTGCAAGTTGATTTATTAATGAGTATACATACACTATGTGTTTTCACAATATTGTTTGCTTTACTTATAGATACGAATTTTGTATTGAATCGTTCTCTGAATCGATTTACCAAGTTTTTATTTTATTGTTATATTTCAAAATATGGAAAACTTGTTTTTCTAAAATGTGATTTTTGAAATTTATGATGTCCGAATGCAGGTAATTGCTTATCAAGTTTATACATAACACTTTACAACCTGTAAACAATCTAATTAATTAATGTTAATTTAAGATTATGACAAGCCAATAATATTTTATAAATGTTAATAATTCGTTGACAACTATTTTTTAAAATATTGAAATTCCTTGATGACAGAATTTAAAATTTGGAAATCACATTATACAAATTATTGAAAATTTTTGAAATTTTCCTTGTTTTTTTTTACATAAGTTTTTGTTTTATATTTAAGTACTCTTTAAATTTAGATATTCAATGTATTTTAGAAATAAAATTAAATAAATTTTAAAAAACAAAATGCACATAAAACACAAATAGGATGATTATTTTAATTTATTTTTGATATAAACAATAAAATTTAATAAATTGATATAGAGCATTCAACCAAATGAAAGATTTACTTGCGCACATATAGTTTTTTTTTGAGTTGTTTGAGGACGTTTTGCTTTGTTCTATTAAAGCTTTCTTTATGGTAGGTATGGCTTGTCTCTCCATAAAAATTAACAAATTTTTATTCACCATTCATAACTTGCGAAAACCTTTTTATAGCCTCTTCCTTCAACAACAGTTGACAGAGGCAACCAAAAGTGTTACCATCAATGGTTGATGGTCTAAAAGGATATGCAACCCTTTATACAGTAGTAGTGATGTACTGGTATTTCATACTGTTATATAGAATAAGTACTCCATTATTAAATTGGCAGCTTTGAAAAAATTATTTTTCTATACCCACATGGATATTAGCTAATTTATTGCCTTCAACTGAATGAATATATTTCATATCCATTCTAGGTAGTGAGAGCACTGCAAAAAAATTAAATCCACCAATTACCGTTCATATTTAGATCAACCGACTGCTTTTATTTTTAAAATTTTAAATAAGTGACAATTCTGTCAAACTAATTGTCAGTATATTTTTTAGTTATTGAGATTAAACATACATTAAAATGGGTTATTCTTGTGTAGAATCGATAAATAATAGCACTTCTGTTTTTATTTTGTCTATAATTATAAATAATTTGTTAATTTAAATAAAACTATATGTCAATTTAATTACGAGTATTAAAGCAACAAAAATGAAAGAATAGGTGGTCCTACGGTTAGCGTTCTCGCCTTCCACACGGAAGATTGGAGTTCGATTCTCGGATGGGGAAAAATGAAATGAATTTTTTTCTTTTTTTTTTTTCGTTTATTTTATTTTAAAATTTATTAAAAGTCATAAATTATTTTACAATTAGTTATTTTATCTTAATAACCTAAAATATTTTTTTTATTTGTAAATTTTCGTTAGTGGGTCGTAGAAAAAATATACTGTACAACTCGAGTGGATTGTCCACATCGCACTCAGACGATTGAGGACTCTGCCTACGGCGTCGTGCTCAAATTTCGTCCTTTTGCAATATGACCATCATATCCACTCTTGTTGCACAAACTTCTATTTTCTACACCCACATAGATATTAGCTTATCTACGCATAGTCTACAATACGAATAAGCATGCTGTTGTGTTCAATGAACGAATATATTTCATATCCATTCTACTTAATAAAAACACTGCAAACTAATTCCCATTCACTCTACTCTTGATGAAGTAGAAAATATATTTATTGGGTACTCCCAAAGGAATATCAACAGAAGTTTTTTGACCAGTTATTATATGTATAAAACATTTAATATATATTATACAGGGTGTCCCATTAGTGCGTAATTCCTCGATTCTTCGATTTTTGTTATAAATACACAAACAAGATTTAAATAAAAGTTATATAGATTTGAATAAGGTGTACTTTAAAAATTATTTTTGAACTAACTTGTTCTTTAAATCTCAATTTAACGTTAATACAAATTCCCAAACTTTTTACCAAGTTACATGTCTTAATATTATCAATTTCAATGTTCAAATTATCTTTTATACCATGTGTAATATTACCAAAACATATTATTTGAGTTTTGGCAGGATTTATTTTTAGCCCATATTTTACTGAATACTCAAATGTGTTGGACATCGTTTGAGTTATCTCTAAACTAGCATTACCCAGTTAATTAACTAATAAGATCCTATAAATTTAAGTATCAGATAAAGAAGAGTTACAAGAATTGAGCCCTGAGGTACACCTTTTTCAATTAATTTTGAGCTAGATTCATTGTCTATTGTCACATATCTATGCCATAATAATTTAGTTTGATTAAAATTGCTATAAACCAGTTCCCTTCATATTTACTAGCATACACAAACCATTTGTATACCATACAAATTTATAGTCGTCGTTTTTTAGAATTTTGGCTTTTATCATACAACATCTGGACACTCTTTAGTAGATCTTCATTGATGTATATTCTTTTACTGTGTCGTCATCAATTCCACATTCCATTTTATCTAATTTTATCGATTTCTTCAATTCCAACAATTTATCTCTGGTTGGCTTTTCTTTTCATTTGTTTATATTCCATATTCACTTCAGTATCAAACTTTTTTTTAAATACCTTTTTAATATGTTCTTTAACTGAATTTTCACCGCACAAACTGACTATAATGACATTTTTACCTCCCCTTCTTCCTCTTCCTCTTTTGTTAAATTTCTCAATCTTGCTTTCAAGTTCTTCAACTCTAGTTTTTAGGACTTTTGCTCTTTTCTTAACACTGCATTATCTTAAGAAATGTTTTCTAATTTTTTTCTGAATATTATCCATCACTTCTGAGTTAAATTGTACATATTGCTCCAACTCAGAGAACATCTGCTTAAAAAACTGCATAATCTTTTTATTAGAAGAATTAGAGCTTTTAAGGACATTATCTTCATTTTTCTTTTCAATACTTTTGAATTTTCTCTGTGTTGGTAGTGTGTATGTAGTTACTCATATTTGATAGTTTATATCTAACAATTTTAATAGATTTACGTTCCTAAAAATATTTTGCATTTTCATTAATTTGGTATGATATAGGGTGTATCATAACACGTGGTTAAGATATTCTCAAGTTTTTCAAATATATGTTATACCACCAATTTATAGATTAAATTGTTTATTTTTAATTTGTTTGGCATTTCCAAAACGCATATTATTTACAGTGTTTTACATTACTTGTGACATCGGGGGAATAGAAAACCATCCATTATTTGTGACAAAAGTGCTATTAAATTAGCATTTTACCATATTTTCAAAAGCCAATTCGCACAATATGAAAAAATATGTAAATGTTCATAATAAAACCATCCAAATCTTGAGAAAAAATGCGTTTGGATACAGCGAATGCCAAACAAAATAAAAATAAATAAAGAAATTAATCCATAACATACAGGGTATTGCATTTGATAAAAAGAGAATATAATAACCTTGCTTTTTGACATATCCTGTATACATCATAGCAAATGAATGAATATGCAAAACATTTTCAGGAACATAAAAATAAAGATTAAGTCTATTAAAACTGACAATGTGATAACAACCAATTAAAAAAAGTTATATGCATAATCACCTACAGGGTGTTTGGTTTAAAAAAGTATACATTTGGTTCGCCCCTTCATTTACGAGTATGTACTTATATTTAAGAATAATTTTAAAATAATATGGTACAACTTTTGTATTCAATATTTCTTCCTATCCAATAATAAGACAGCTATCGATCAATTACGCACTGATGGGACACGTTGCATATAAATAATAAACTAACATGTTGATATCGTTGGGTAGGTAAATTCATAACGAATTTAATGTTAAAATGATATAAAGGGTGTTGCATTAAAAAAAAAATAGTAAATTGAACTTAAAATTAACCATATTTATGACTTTTCAAAACACTGTATAACATGAACCAGTTCTATCATCACTATTCCTTAGCTTGGTACCTTATAACAATTTTTAAATCATTGCAAATTATGATAATTCTCGAATTTCATAAAAAATATAATTGCATGACAATCTTGTAATATTTTTCTAAAATATTCTTGGGTTAAATACAGTTTTAGCAGACCATTCTAAAACTAAAATAAAATATAAGGTAATCAATTTTAAAAATATGCCTCTTTCAAATGCATATAACTCTTTAAAACTTTTTTCGAGTTATACACAAATTGAAATATGGAGCAATTATGCACTAATGGGACACCTTGTATAAAAAAAGGAAGTTATCTTTCATTGGATGGATTCAAAAATGTTTAGCTTGGGGTAATGAGTCATCTAGTAAACTGGATGGAAGTTCTTAATGCCTGTCTGTTAATAATGTTAATATTAATAAAATTGGTTTGTAAGAAAATTTCTGAGTAAGACAATTCTTTCTGTTATACGTTCCAATTGTGTTTTCTTGTATACAAGTCTGTTTGAAGGGTTATGGAGTGGTTAATCAGAATGTCTCATTTTAATAATGATTTTTAGGATACTTCTGCTATCTTAATATTATTAATGGTGTTTCTTCTGCATCTTTGGGATAAGCCACAAGCTTAATCGATTAGTGGTCTGCATATAGACGTATATATCTTGTTGGCGGTAACTCCACTGTACAATATGAAAAATTATTTCTATTTCAAACTTATGGATTTTGGTCACAGTAATCTTACTTTTTTTTTAATTACAGGTACCTCACGAAGGCCCAATGTGCGACCTCCTTTGGTCAGACCCAGACGACCGCGGAGGTTGGGGCATCTCTCCCCGTGGTGCCGGTTATACCTTTGGACAAGACATCTCAGAAACTTTCAATCACAGCAATGGTCTGACGCTGGTATCGAGGGCGCATCAATTGGTCATGGAAGGGTATAACTGGTGTCACGATAGAAACGTTGTAACCATATTCAGCGCCCCCAACTATTGCTATAGATGTGGCAATCAAGCTGCCATTATGGAATTAGACGATGCTCTTAAATATTCATTGTAAGTACATAAACACGTTTTATAAATATGATTAAAAGGGAACTGAGCCTCATGGGGATTTCACCTGTTGTTCCGTGTTGACAGTCTAAACTCTAAAATGTATCCTGAATAGTAATAGATGTAAACTATAGAAGTTGAGATAAGTAAAAGAATAAAACTTATCTATGTATATTATATTGCAATTGTTTTCGTCACTTGACAAAGTGTAAATGCATAGGCGTATTAATTTTTATAGTCATTTAATTGTTTAGCAAATAAAAAGTCAACATTGTAATTATTATAAATAATTTAAAACAGATATTTTATAAAAATGTTTTGTACCACTGAGTGTCCAAACAAGAAGTGACGCCGGTAGTTGGCGGCTGTAGTATACAGCCAGTATCTCGGAAACTATGGGAAAAACATTTTAAATACGAGTCCTAACAACTAAATGTTCGGACAAACAATAATTTATTGAAAACGTTAATTTACATAAACTAAATTATTAAATTGAAAAACTACATTAACAATATATTAAAATTTATCATTTATGTTCAACATTTAAATGGTTTGGTTTTTAAACATTAAAATACACTGTATGTGAAAAAATAAACAAATATATTGCACAATATAATAAAAACTAAATGTTCGGAAAATTTACAGAATTACTATTTTAATATGGCGTTACATCGCCACGCGGTTTTACAACCGCTGCAATCCTATCTGGCATTGTTATTAATTAATTAATGATTGACATAATTTAGTGTCAAAACTTTGCCATAATTCATCCAATTTCTTCTTCAAATCGGCAACGGTTCTTTGAGAATCATCACGCAATTTTGTCTTGATAATATTAAGGTCTGTACTGTTTGTTGAAGGCCATGAAAGGACATTAATGTTATTATCCCCAAACCATTTTTTAGTAGTTTCCGCTGTATGGCATGGAGCACTGTCTTGTTGGAATATAAAATTCATGTCCGGGTAAAGAACTTCGGCGCTTGGCACAAGACTATTTTTCAAAATTTCCTGATAATCATGAATTAAATAAAATCTTGCGAACCGACCTTATAAGAAATACGTCCTGATTTGTGTATCCACCTTCTACAGCTCTCTCTCTCTCTCTCTCTCTCTCTCTCTCTCTCTCTCTCTCTCTCTCTCTCTCTCTCTCTCTCTCTCTCTCTCTCTCTCTCTCTCTCTCTCTCTCATCTCTCCTCCCTCTCTTTCGCTCGCTCGCTCCCCTTAGGCTCCTTTTATGCATATGTCGTTGTGTGGTTTGCCGTCGGACGGCACAACGATCGACGTTTCCATGTGGTGCCGCTGTACCTTTTTATGCAAGTACAACGGTTCAAGCGGCTAGTAGATGTATTAAGTGCATTGTTGTCAGAGCAGTAAAAAAAAGATGGATACATATATTATTTATTAATATATTGTAAGAAACAAAGAGGACCTGCAGAAATTCTTTAATTATGTTAGGACATCTACGACATTTTTCGACGAGCTCGCTGCAAAAGTCCTGGATAAAATGCAAGACATATTTCAATCCACAGATTCTTTTTTATATTTCTGTCTTTATACTCATGCGACGATACATCCTGTGAAGTGGGCTTAAGCAACAGTGCGCAGATTAAGCTGACAGGATGCTGGCGTCATACACATGACGCGAAGACAAGCGCATAAAAGCAGTCTGCATGAAGCAACGAAGATGCGCGTACCTATCCGGAGATTGACTCAAGGTTACTCTTCATAAAGTCTGTCATATGTGTTAGATACTTGCATTTGTAATACAAGTTAGTGATACCACCCCTCTCGTTTAATTACACACCCCCGTACACCACACATCCCAAATAGCTCTTCGTTGTCTTATTTCATTAATAAACTTTTCCGTATTCACATTTACGTCTACATTGTTTGAACTCACTGTGAAAACTACGAAGAGTGGCAATAGGCCTTCACTATGACAACAAAACGCTGAACATCTGCATAAAAATCCCCATATGTGTACGTGTATTTAAAATATTGTAACCGCAATTGTCGTCGAGCATTTGCCGTTCAAACCTATTTTCTCGACGGCATGATTAGACATACAACGACACGTTCGCAAAACGCGACGGCAAATTTCTTGACGACAACTGCATAAAAGGAACCATTGCTCCGTATGTAAATAGTTTTCGAGCGTTTTGTGCCGTCCGACGGCAAACCACACAACGACATGTGCATAAAAGAAGCCTTAAAGTGATACGACGACCCCGTTTGCAAATTTTTACAAATAATCGTCGATCCTTATCAGACACACTTCTCGGTCTTCCCCAACTGTTGCCCATAGTTTGGACACTTGCACTCTCACGATAGTGCTTAAGTGTGTCCCCAACTGTCAACTTAGCCAAATCTAATTCATCAGCTATTGTACCGATACTATTAATAAAAAATGTGTTCAATTGACTTTGCATTTCCTCAATTTTGTCAACCATTTGTTGAGAATTATTTGGCTCTATTTTTTATACTTTCCACATTTCAACATCATTGTTCTTGTTATGATCAATTTTACTCTCGTATTTTCTTTTTTCAGTTCTTAAGACTCTTACAGCAATGTTTCCTTTTTGTTTATAGGCTTCCCAGTTTTCATTATTTCTATTAGTTAAATATTGTTTGAACCAATTACCTTTGTCCACATAAATAAAGCCCCATACTCTGGATAATTACAGGGTCTAATTTACTTTTTAAATTCGTTATTTTTACAGTTATGATGTAGTGTAAGTTAATTTTAGGTGTTTTTAAAACTTGTGTACTAAATCTATCACAATTTGTAATTACTAGGTCAATAAGACTACCTCCATTATTTGTTGGATGAGTAAAGTCAGTTAAATGTATTAAAACATATAATAGGCTAGAACAGAAGTAAAAGTTGGAAAGGCTTTTGCCAGTTATCCCACTTTATACACATAAATTGACAAGTTTGCTGCGGATGTCACTGAAGTGGACGCGATACATTGGCGTACAAAATTATTTTATAGATGTTAATAACAATTTTCGAGTAAATAGTTTAATAAATTGTGAATAACTGTTGAAATTTTGTAAAATTACGATTTGAATATTATAATACATGTTTAATAATTATTTATAGTCCATAAATACATGCGATTGTTCGGTTCCGTCGATAACAATTTAAAATTACTTATTCTATGAAACGACACTGGCAGGTAAACATTACTGCGAAATTCTCGAAACCGTCCGACGTGGTTTGACGTTTACCCCCTCTCTACCTACCAAAAGCCTTTCCAACTTTTACTTTCCCTATATTGATTATGTGATATACTCCTAGAAAGGAACGATCACTTTCATGGGTTTTTATCTCATGAATCTATCAAATGGTCACTAAAAATGAAAAAACCGCAGAGTACTATTAAATTAGAGGGTGGAAATTGGAGATAGGGGTGAAAATGTAACTCTTACAGTTTTTTAATTATATCTCAAAAACGAAGCAAAATTCAGTTATTGTTACTAGAATTTTTTTTGTAGAGAATGCGATTTTATATCGAAATAGTTTATTTAAAAAAAATTATAAACTTTCTTTATGTAGAAAATAAAAAAAAAAAATTAAAAAAAGCAAAAAATTGACTTTTGTTTTTTATTTTACATTTTTTGCGTTTTCTGAGCAGAGATAGGTATAGGTATGTGAAGCAATACATAAAAAAAGTAGATAACATTTCCTTTAAACATGTTTTTGGATAAAAACGGACTGAGATATAGCCTCTCAAACTTGTCTATTTTTAATTTTTTTTTTCGCATTACCTTGATTATGTTTTAGTTCTTATTTTTTACAACAAAATTGTTTTTATTCAATAAAAAGTTATTATACGAATGTGTTCGATTTATAAACAAAGTCACAACTAATATTAATGTAGTTTTCTTCTAGCAGTATTTTATGTTAGAGGCCACTGACAGTTGTTCTCAAATGTAACAGACCACCACCGATTAAAAAAAGAAGAGAAAGAGGTTAAGGAGAGGTGATGGCGCGAAAGTGTTTGGTAATGACGCCTTGATAAATTTTATGATTTTGTGTTTTAAGTCGAAATATATCGTTGAAAGTTAGCTATTGTTTCGAATGAAATACCCTGAAGAGCCCTTCATTAAAAATATTGTTTTTACATATAATTGTCTTTTTTGCAATAAAAATAATACTTTTATACTAATTTAAAGATTTTGGAAGTTTATTCAGATAAAAAAAAAATTAACATTAAATGTTTATTAATTATACAAATTATTTACATTGTTTTATATCTTTTCAATAATGTTGGATATCGATTTATTCATCTATGTGTTCAAGAACATCGTCTTCTGTAATCTTTATTACTCTTACATGTTCGCAATTGACAACTATATTTTTTCCTAGCCCCCTTGAGTGGGTTTAAATAGTTACTGTTCCACTGCTGCATTTGGAAATATGTTCTTAAACCATTGTGTTTGGTGGCGTTGCATGTTGGCGGCAATTGGGCAAGACACAATTTTGCCCTTTTGATAGTTTTCAGAAAAGCTGGAAGCAACAGTTGCTTAAGGTCTTATTTAGCTTTGCCCCATAAATAGTATTCTGATACAGATCCTATTTCATATTTGTCACATAAAAACGTGTCTATATAAGATTTTAATTGTAAAATATTTTCACTTTTTTTTCCACTGTTGTGACTTTGTTTATAAATCGATCATAGTTTTACACATAAAAATATTGAATTTTTATTAACAAATTAACTTAAAATACTTTTTTTATTGAATAAAAATCAATTTACGAATTAAAACGGTATCAAGGTAAACGCCATAAAAATTGAAAAAAGTCTACTTTTTTTATACAGAGCTCAGAAAATGCAAAAAAGTAAAAAAATGTTTTTGTTTGTTTTAATTTTCAATAATTTTTACATAAAAATTTTTCAAATTTTATAAATAATAAGTTTCGATGAGAAATCGCATTTTCTAAAAAATAATTCCCTATTAAATATACCTGAATTTTGCTTTATTTTCGAGATATAACTAAAAAAGGTTGTATTTTGACCCCTATCTCCAATTAATAATAAGTAACTTTATTTATCAAAGATAATATACAATAATTCAAAATAAACCAACAATTCAATATAAACATGAACTTCATAATTAATTCAAAAACATAATTGTCCCTCATACATATAATAAATAAAAAAAGAAAAACAAAAGGATAAAAGAAACAGTAGGTATTTAACATAACAGATTGTATAACAAGTAAAAGAAGTAAAAGAAAAGAGAAAAAGAACAATTTTCAACTTTATAATTAATAAAATATTTTTAACATAAATAATAAGTTCTTTCTTAAATTGACTAGGATTCTCAGCATTTTTAAAATTTTGAGGCAGACGATTGAATTGATCGATCCCTTTATGAAATAAGCTTTTCATAGAACTACTGTTATTAATTGTTTGTACTTAAGATTTGATAGTTTGCTGCTCTTGTGTTTCTTTGATGTATTTCTGTAACCGAGATTAGTTGACAATTAAGATATTCAGGCAATAAATTGTTTATTATTTTAAATATAAAAACCATTGTACAATATAGCAGTTTTCAACACTTAGCCAATTTAAGGTGTCTAACATAAACTGAATACTGGTATATTTGTTACAACCTAGTATCACTCGGATCGCTTTGTTTTGCAGGACCTGTGGTCTATCAAAATTGGAACATCCTGTACATATTAAAGAACAGCAATAGTAAAAGTGAGGTAGAATAAGTCAATTTAGTTGAAATTGATAGATACGGTGACACTCTTTGTAAAAATCCAATTTTTTTTCCTACTTTTTTACAGATATACTCAATGTGTTTATTAAATTTTAGTTCTCTATCAATCATAATTCCCAAATACTTTATTTCTTGGACCTGTTTCGTTATTTATTTTAATGTCTAAATTTAAATTCAAAAATCTATTGTACAGAAAGTTGTTATCAATGAACATAAATTTTGATTTCATCTCATTAACTTTTAATTTATTTTGTTTGAATTTAGATGTTAATAACCCCAATTCATGGTTGACGGTCTCAGCAACTTCAGCAAAATCATCCCCATAATAATAGATAAACGTGTCATCTGCAAAATGTTGTATTTAACATTTTTTAAGAACCTGTCCCAAGTCATTTATATAAAGTATGAATAGTAAGGGTCCAAGCACGCTTCCCTGCGGCATCCCAAAAGTATTTAATTCTGGATTTGATACCTCATTATTAATTTTAGTTACTTGATATTTATTTAATAAGTGATTATACAACCAATCATAGACAGTTTCCCTAAATCCATATTTTTTTAATTTTTGAAGTAAAATATAAGGGTCAATCGTTTCAAATGCACGTTTAAGATCAATAAAAACTGCGCAGATATCAACTCCTGGTTTATCAAGAATATTTTTTATATCTGAAACAACTAATTGTAAAGCCGACTCACAAGAATGTGCTTTCCCAAAGCCCGATTGATATCTGCATAGTATTTTATTTGAAGTTAAGAGTTAATGTGATTACAGCACCCCCTTATAATTTTCGGACAAGGATATCTTAAAAAGTAATTTTTTTAGAAAATTTAAATTTGGGCAAAATAAATTAGGCTGTAATAGCTAAAATATGCATATTTTTTAAAGTTTAATTCCTTCCAGTTTCCGAGAAAAAAAATCACTTTAAATTTTAAAATATCATAATGAAAATAAATGCATTCCTCAACAGCACTATTCTTAATATAATCCCCAAATTTAAGCTCTTAATCTCTTATTAATGATTTTTTAAAATTCGCCGAAATTAGTGGCTAAAACGCCTCGTTAATTAAGTGCTTCTTTTTAGTGTAACGCGTCTCTAACTATCGTATCGTACACTCTGAGTCATCATTCGTTTCTTGCAATGATTTACACCAGTTTAAACCAGAAAATAGGATGTTCAATCGTTGCTTTGGTGTTCTCATTTTAAACATTTTTTTCTCTTTTAGCTTACAGTTCGATCCGGCACCGAGACGTGGCGAGCCTCACGTGACCCGCAGAACTCCAGACTATTTCCTTTAAACATTCTTACCGAGACGACTTTTTTTTTCAACTGCAATATATCATACAACTTCAAAAATACAAAAAAGGAAGCTTAGTTATATATAATTATTGTATTTGTAAAAGAAAATTATTATATAGTTTATTGCGATTTAAGTGACGCCTCTCCCGAAATACCCAAATTGATAACGATAAAAATAAAAAAATTGTAAAGTATATATTTATGGTGTAATTTTTTGTAGATTCTCCAATCTTTTTTAATGTAATTATTTTTACTTAGTTAGGGCCATTGGATCGTTATCAAATGAGGGATTTTTTTCAATATGGACAATGGGTTTTTGCGTCAGTCGCTACATTTTTGTTGATTTTTTTTTATATTCTCATCGTCATCGTTTCAGTACTGCTAGGGTGGAAAGAAACACATAAAAAAGTTTTCGCTTTGTATGAAATTGTATATTTGTAAATATAAAAACATTTTGCGACTGAAAAGGATCGGCCTTTTTATTAAAGCGTGCGTACCGTAGAAAATTGCGATTGTGTGCGAAGTCGCACCTTTGAAAGGCTAGTCTGGACGATCTCTCATCTATCATCAATATTGACAAATATATAAAGTTATTTCTGTGGAAAGAAGCCATAACTTGATATATCGACTTCCGCTAACTTTACAGGAGAGCCATTTTAAGAAAAACTGTCTGAGGTAAATCTGTACTTCAACATACAATTTACAGTTAATACTTTTCGTAGAGCTTGAACACCAAATATTGGGAGTTTTAAGTATGAAAGTGAAATATGTCAAAATATCGGAGTTATTTAAGATTGTTCAACATAACAGGTTTTGCCATCTTTTACTCTGGCATGTTTATGTAATTGGCAAATCGATAACAGAACTAAAAATATCCCAAAACTTGTTATTTTTCTGAAAATACTTACATTTTTAGGTTTTGATATCAATATACCTAAGGAAAAAAATTCAACATTTCATGAAATTAATATTTCTTTAATACACAAAATACAAAAAAAACTAGGTTTCAGAATCGGAGTCTTCCTGGGTGTCGCTCAGCTCATCGAACTCCTGAGCTGCTGATGTTGTCGGGAGCTTCTTGTAGAAGTTATGGAACTCTGTATCTATTAAACTTAGTATTGATAACAGGTCCTTCTTTTTCAAAGGATTTATCCCAATGGTACTCCCATATGAGTTACCAACTTCAAGATTCTTAGCAGAGATTTTGCGGCCTTTTCTGTCGCGAATAATATTTAGGGTTCGAAATGGAGAAAATGGATTCAGATCATATTTGAAATGAATGACTCCAAAATCCTTAGTGTATCTTAGCCATTTTATTTTTAGCCACTCGACTGGCTTTTTCTCAGTATCTTGATTGCGATGAACTAAAATATTATTCTTAACTAAAAGAGATGAAAACGCTTTAAAATCTGGTAAGTTCATCTCAATCACATTAAAGCTTTTTTTCCCAGGGATAGCTCTTACAAACTGACACCAATCACGAGGAACCATAATCCTATATGTTTCTCCCCCACTTTTGGAAGATCCTGATGACCCAAGTCTTTTTTTTGCCCGCTCAATACGGGCATGGTCACTGTCACATTCTAGACGTGTGTGACCTGGTAGGAGAAACTTTTGATCAATGACCTTCAGATTCTCGTTTTTTGCCAGAGCATACATAAACATAACTGCCATATTAATGTTTCTGTTCTGGCCCCCACATGTATCTGAGTACGTAACTACCTGCTCTACACTTGTTGGTAGCTGAAGAAGCTTTTTTAAAATACAAGAGGCAATCTGATCTGATCCTCTCCCTCCTTGAAGCTCACTCCACATACAACAGTCTGACGATTCTTTCTCTTGTGAACAATCACGGATGGTTAGGTTGTACATAGTTAATAGTCTTTTGTAATATGCAATATTGGTTGTGAGGTATGGCACAGGCAAAATTTGTTGTAAGTCAAAAACCAAAACTCTTTGGTAATCAGTGTTCTTTGCATTTCCTTTATCTTCACGTTTACGGTCATAACCCTCTTGTGCCTCTAGAACGTGAACATTATGATTTTTATCGATTTCATCACGGTCAGCTTTACTAGTAGCATGTCTTTTAAATACATTAAACTCATCGCAAGTCTTGCACGTGTCAATCAATGGCTCTTTAAACTTATAGCCCTTTGTTTTAAAAAATTTTTTAAATGTGTCGTAGCCAACCGATTTTTCGAAACCATTTTCTTCTCTCCATTGTAAGTACTCTTTGTACATTATTTTAATACTTAAGTGGCTAGGCAAAAATATCTTTTCTGATGAGTTATCTCGCCTAGCGTAATGACTTTCGTGTCTTGGGTATTTGTCTATGAACTGTAAAATTAAATTTATCTCTTCATCACTTGTTTTATTGGGTGGTGTTTGCTTACCCCTCATATCAACATCAATAACACCATAGGAAGAGGCCCTTTTCTTTTCTATTAATATGTCCAATTTCCCTCTGGTTACGCCATACGCACTCATGAACATTAATTTGCAAACATTGTGTTTCTTATTTTCAACAATAATACTATAACTGACAGTCACAAGCCGGTCGTGAGTTAGATCACTCTTACCTCTACCTTTTGCACTATACTTTGTATTTGAAATTTCCATTCTTTCACACAGCGTTTGATCTCTTACTTTCATTGGCAAAGAATAAATATTTTTAAATATTTGATTTTGTATTTCTGGTGTTACTATCTCGAAACATTTTTTCCTCTGACAACATCTCTCAATAGGCTTGAACTCGATGGGACCTTTAACTTGGCCTTTTCTATTTTTGTAGGCCAAACCGTGATCTCTTTTATTTTTTTCTTGTTCACGCGCTCTAACACCTTTCTTTCTTTTTGGTTTAGAGGAAGTAGAAGTAAGAGATGGTTCCAATGATATGTTGCTTTCGGAAACTATTAGTGGTCTGCTACGTATATCAAGTTCATTATCCAACATACCTTCATCTGAAAAACAAACAAATCCTTAAATCATTCAATCTTTTAAATCCCCTTCTCAAATTCAAAAAAAAATGTATAATCTGTAATCTTTAAAATAATCATACACAATAAAAAAAATAACCTTCAGTATCACTTTCCGATCTTGTCTTTTTCCCCTTTGATAGTACTAGACTAAATAGCTTTCGTTTCCTGGAGTCGTCTTTAAGGACAGGAGTCCATTGCGGGTCTGCATCTGAGTCATGGGAATCTTCTTCGAAAGAGTCCTACAACAACATATAAACATTAGTTTTAAGTAGACTTACTATTAGTTTTAACGACATTAGGTTCACGTTAATAATATTATAATATTTACCTGGGGTTCATATGTTGAGTTTAGGCGACTAGTTGAAGGTTTACACATCAATGTATTATGTGGCATAGAGATTACGCCAGTAGCTGGATTTTTTTCATCAAACGTACGATCATTTTTAGTAACACTAACCTCACTTTTGACCGAATAACTTGAACCACACTGTAGAAGTTTACCTCCACATTTTCCGGAATGTACCATCAATTCACTTCGAGTTACACATATTTTATTACAGTTAGTACAAGAATAAGGCATTGTTGGTTCCTAAAACACACTTTTTTCACAACAACAGAACTGTTAAACAACAGCACCTATTTTAAATAACCTTAAAATCGATAATATTGAAGAGTGACAAAACTTGATAACACAACTTGACAAGTGACATCACTGTAGTGCAGTCATCTTTACTCAGATGCGAAAACTTGATATGTTCACATAACATATTCCGCATTGCTATACTACAGAATAAAGGATATTTTCAAGGAAGGTACAATTTGATATGTCGACATATCAAGTTATGTCTTCTTTAAAATCTATAAAAATTAGCTGTTTTTGAAAGTGGAAGTATTAGATAAATCGACATATCAAGTGTTGACATCTTTTTAAAAACCATTTAGTTAGAGGCGTACATTGTTATGTCAACTTATCAAGTTCTTACCTCGTCTGTAATATCAACTTTAAACATATCAGGTTTGGGCATCACTTCTATGACCGTTATTATTAGGAATTCGACTTATAAAGTTATACCATCTTGTAGATCTCGTCGAGACGAACACAGTCGTGTTGATAACTCAATTTTGGTAAAAAGTCGACTTATCAAGTTGTGGCTTCTTACCACAGATTTAAAGATGTGTATGAATTATGTGTGTATAGATCCTAGTTAATAAATTGTTTCTTTGTAAATTGGTTTTTTCTGTGTTCTTTCTGCGCTACCGTGAAATAAAAATGGAAATAAAACAATGTTAATAAGTCTAGGTATTTTAATGCATGAAATTAGTATATACTCAATGCTTAAAAAGATAATAAAATTAAAAGGCATTTGTTTTTTTTTTTAGTTTTTTCTTTTCCTACAAATTTTTTGGATGCAACACATATTTTTGAATGGATGTTTTTGTTTTTGGCTGAAAATGGGTGCTGTAACCTTAAGTGTTTAAATAATAGGGTTGGTCCAAATTTCATTTGTTTTATATATTGATTTCGTGAACTAGCAGATATAAAAAGTCAATAAAGTATAGTATAATAAATAGGTTTTTCAGCATAATTACAATCAAGAGAGTTCACAATAAAATGTTAGCTGTTCATAGCAATGGATATACAAAGCACTGATGGAATTCACTAAAGGGGTAAGTCGTTATTATTAATTTTATGACGAAAAATCATTCTTTAGGTTTGTTTGGATTCTTTAAAACTACGTTCTAAACTGTCAGAGAACTATTGATTAGTGGACAGTTTAAAAGTTGTACGCGAAGAATAATTTGATATTCAATTGTTCCACTAGATCTCAGACAATTTGAATCAAAGTTTAATGAAACCCGAACAAATCCTTTATAAAAAATCTACTTGTAAAAAATAAGATTGAAGTATAAAAATCTTAGATTAGATGTATGTTCAGCGATAATTCTTCACCACGTTGTCTGATTTCCATGATTCTTTGTTAGAATGGGGGTTCCTCAGAGGTGGTTTATTAATGGGATCCATGGGAAAAGCATCAAACTCTTCATTTTTTATGTAAATTGAGTGATAATTCTTTGCCACTTAGTCCGATTTTTATGGTTCTTTTTTTGTAGTAAGGGGGTACATTGGGGGTGGTCCCGTTTAGTCAAGATCTGATAAGAGCTATGAGAAAATGAGCTAATTTAATTTGTGATGGCATCTGCACAATTTTTTTGAGTCTTGTTTGTTAAAATTACTTCTATAACTTATTTAAAACAAAATGTTTATAAAAGAAAGTTGTTTGCAATTCAAAATAATGACAATACAAATTTTCAAATCATGAACTTTTACTAAATTGTCTCTCTTGGTAATTTCTTAAATGCTGCAAATACTCGGACATATACATTTAGATTATTTTAAATTTTTGTGTGAAAATTTGTATTGCAAACTTTTATCACATTTTTGTATACCCAGATGTGCTATAAAAGAGGTGGAAAAACTTTTCTATTTTCAACTTTTAGAGAAAATATTATTCATAAAAGATTTTGCTTGTTTTAAAACTAATAATAATCCAAACAGAAGTTGAATATATCTTTGATTTAGTGAAATAGTGACAAAAATGCAAAAAA